GGTATGTAGTATGACCATGAAAATATAAATTCTTATAGCCAGCGCATAAATAATAATAATATTCACAACGACGTATATTTAATATTCATTGTGTTCGTGTATAATAATTTAATCTCTTATACATAAAGTATAGCAGCAGCAGCAGCAGCAGCAACAGGTATATATAACATCGTTTCCTGGCAGCGGTGTAAATAGTTCAGGGCGTCAGCGTAAAGTTCACTAGGCAGTCGTCCTTGCACGCGTTGAACGCCTGTCCGCATGATATTTTAGTCGGCGGCAGAGCGGAAGCGGTCTTGGCGAACTGTATGCCGTTAGCAATGCCGTTGGACACGTAGCAAACGATAGCCAAAGATCCGCAACCGGCGTAACATACGTAGGCAATGAAGAAATGGGCGGGGGTGACGGGAGACATGATCAGCAGCACGATGAACAGGGACGGCAACATGTTGTTCCTCGCTGACATTTTGATACGATTCGATATTAAAATAGGCGATAAATATCGGTAGATATTATTATATACGGATATAATACCTATTTCAATATTATAGTATTATTATGAGCGATCAACGTTTATGCACGATACTGCAGTGCGCCTATTGTATATGAGCTGAAAATCACACAACAAAACGGCAATATTATGAAATGTGTATATTATCTATATTATATTGTATTGTCTTGGCTATTTCTCCCTAGGTGTCTTACGATATAGGTGGGTACTATAAAATATGTACCAATGGGTATACCTATTTGATTTGAAAAATGTATACTAATATTTTAAATACTTCTTATCCGTTACTTTATCTAGATGGCTATGTATACAATACAACATATTGTGATAATGGGTCATTTAATTAGGGATTGTTGGATTAGGATGAGATTGTTTTAAGCTAGCAAAGTTGAAGTTAAAACTTTTATTGAAAGCGGTCTAGTCTAGTTGTTTTTGAATTTATAGATGACAAATAAAAATATATATATTTCTTTGTATAATATAATATAATAAGAAAATACTACAACCATCAATATTATTTTCTGGCTGCTCTGAAAATGTTATAGAATGGTTTTAACTACACCTACGATCATTGTTATTGTGATTTGCTGGCATGACTGCATTGTTGAGATTAATAACTAGGTAGTTATATTTTAATGAATATAATGTGGATGATCACGCGAAGGTTAGTTAGCTATATTTATTCAATAAAATGCAATATTAATTATTGATTATTATAAAATTAGTTGTTGCTTTATACCTCTATTATAGTTTATAACTATATCAAGTTGTGTAGGTTTTATATTTGTATGGCTTCATAAAATAAAATGTGTGTTCGTAAACTATTGACTGTATATAGTATTATAATATTATATGATATCACTTGTTACTTATTAGTAATTATATTATGACTTTTTTTTAACGACATAATAACATATTATTATTATCACAGATATTGAGCTATGGCACATTATTTATTATTCATGCAACTATGCAAGTGCTAATAGTAATAATATGTAATCTACGAATAATATTGTAATAATTTGTTTGGTACATATTTTATGAAAACTTTAGATGAATAACTCAATAAGTGAAATTCAGATAGAATATCTAGGGGCTGACATGTCATACCTACGTAAATCCCCTCTATGAAAGTTCGCTTCACTCACAAATAATAATGATATGAGATTATGAAAACTATAAATAGTGCAAAACCATTGAAATGTTAATTTAATTAATAAAATTACTATCAAATTAAATTTCTCCCTATGACAAACAACCACCTCATTACCACAGAAAAAGATATGATCCAACATTGTCAACTATTTAACATAATAGGTACTCAACAGAAGCATACATATTTGAAACACTAGTTATAACTTGTTATTTATACATACATGTAGGTATGTACCTAGTACATATAGGTATAATGAAATAAAATAATTGTATAGCAATCCATCATTTTAATAGTTTTGTAAGTTAAACACAAACTTATAACATAGTACCTATTATCTTCCCATATAATTTACAGAGTGTTTTAAATGTTTATCGTCATATTTTATTTATATTGATAATTTATCTAAGATGAGCGTATGTCGCATACGATATTCCGGTTCACTTATAGTGCCTATTTATATTACATAGGTTAGGTTAGGTATGGCTACTCGGTCACTCATGACTCCTCTATGACCCTAATAATCTATAACCTTATATCTGTTCCTGAACAAACTTTAAAAATTATAGCATTACTGTTTGAATACTTAGCTGCTCAATTTATAGTCAACGGAAATTCATAACACAAACCTACTAACTAGTATAATTAGGTACATAAATTAGTTCTATAAATGGACTATCAGTTCTTCAGAAACATAAAAAAAAAACAATTTAAATTTTTTATTTTGAAATCAGACACCTTAATCAAAATACACTTGAACCATCATGTAATAATCTCCCTATAATTGTTTTTCAAAAGTATTAATATAAAAAAAGATTAGTAGCTTAAATATTTTAACAGTTAACCAACAAATTTAAAAAAAGAATACAAAACGTACATTCAGGTTAATAGTTATTAAAAGGTTTTCAAAGATCTAAGAATGATGAACCTTATGCAAATCCACAATTTTTGACAGAGTTTCAGAACATTTTCGTCAATAGATTCAGCGAGATCCATAGTGCCATAGGCCATAGGCTATTTTTTATTACCTACTTATTTTTAACTATTCAACATTTAAATGTTGAATAAAGTTTGCTCACGAAATACTATCATTGTTTTATTTATATATTGTTGCCATTGATCAAAACAATCCTAATAACTGAGTTAAAAATCTGTGCAGTTCAAATTTAATGGAGTCTAAGATAAAATAAATCCACGGACATTTAATTTGCACTGGTAAGACCGGGCACTATCAGCAAGTTATAAAATTTAAATTTAAAACTAAACATTTGTTTATTAAGTAGGTATATGTCTCAAATAGACCGAGAAATACGAATGAAGTAGGCAATAATATTTTTTTTTAAGGAAATACATTTTATTACTTACTTATACTTGATGAAATTAGTTTTGATTTTATCCAGAGGTCTGCAACGAATGATATGATTGATTGAATCAATATTTTATGATGTATCTAATGTTACGCTGTTACATATAATGATTATAATAATGTGATAAAATATAGTCATTGATTTAGAAGGAGGGCAATACCACAATAAATTGTATTTTATCTCAATATGATGTCCATTGTTCATATGGTAATTACTAAATAATTAATATCAATTAGGTAGTTATTATTTATAACACCATTACGTACAGTGCACATTAGTATAAACAATATGGTGTTTGTACTTTATAATAAATCTTAATGAAAAAATATTTAACATGTACATATTTTTTTAGAACCCTTCAAGTATTCAAGAAATCTTTGTCAGATGACTAGAGTATATCTTTACGTCAATCAGAATTCATAATATTTTATGTACCATATCAATATATCATGCAATATATTTGTTCCAAAACCTATAAATGTACACTATAATAAAACGATATCTTTTATCCTTTTCTTCCACATTACATATCACATAATGTACCTACCAATTAAAAATCTTAAAATATGTATTCCTATACCTAGGTTAATTCATAGTACCTACCAGGTGCATAATTTCAGAATTTTGAGTTCAGTGCAACATACATTTAGTAAGAGTCAATCATAATTATTATCAGAGAATCACTCACGAAATAGGAACGTAGGTACTTTTAGATTTAAAAAAATTAATGACTTTAGTTTGTGATTGAATTGCGAAAAAATTTAGTTCTTTATAAAATTTTTATAAGAATCACTAGAGTTTAGAGTTGAGCTTATATACTTAATCCTCGTGACTACTATGTCAGTCTACACTTTTCCTAGATAACGGACGTTAACAATTAAATATTAATCATCCAATATTTTGTAGTACGGCAAAAATTACCTAAAAATAATTTCATCCAAATTTTCGTTATTGTATATTTGTATACATAGGTTAAAATAAATATTACTAACCTAACCTAAATTATATACTTCTTATATAATAATATAGTCGTATCACATTGACTTATTATAGTAAATGTTGATTATTCGATACATCAATATGATTGTATCGATACATTGTCTCCCAGATACACTGCTAACAATATCAGAAATTAGGAATTAAACATTATTATTCTGAAAGTTCAATTTGTACACCTGTGAATCCTAAGATAATTTTGAAAATATTTTTAATCTTTATGTTTTAAATCAGCAGTTCTCTGCCTAGTTTTGAATATTTCGTTGTGTTCGATGGGTTTAAGGTGTTCGGTTTTGGCCATTTTCGGTTGCATGCTTTTAAGTCAGTTGTTACCGACATTTAGCATTTTCGATTACATTGTTTTTCATCTTAGAATATTAATATTTTTGTATTAAAAATGTTCCAATTGACAACCAATATCCTATACCTAACCATATCGTGACTTTAATGAAACTTTACCTACAGTTATTAACGTTCTGTGTACACAAATACCTACCTGTAAATTTGAGCGATAGACGAAAACAAGTTTAATTATTATTTGCTAATTATTGGCCCAAATAATTGGTTCGTTGCACATAATACTGTATATGAGATAATGATAGAACGATAATAATAATTAATAGATATGTACTTTTGTGTCTTATATGTACAATTGTCATTTATTTTTGTTATAAATATTCAATAGGTATTGTATATTTGTATATTATTTTAATAAAGTAGGTAACTAAAGTTGTACTAAATATAATAAATATAAATGTTCAATATCTTAAAATAAAAGACCAACACTGTTATTCAGAGCAATTGAAAATGACCGAGTGCAGAAATTGGACTATCAACGCTGGAAATGACCAAGTGCAGCAATTTGGATGCGAAAAGGTAATTATTTTAAGTATACAATAAGCTTACTCACATATGTTAAACTATAAACAATATTGAATTTATCAGTGTGATTTCCCGAAAATAACTGTAAACAACAATTATTCAAAGTGGAGTACTTTAGCTCGTTATACACTTTTATATACATATGTAATAGAATAATTTATTAGGTGCCTTAATTCAAGTTTGAATACATTATATTATAATATATTCTTTTAAAAATACAACCATTATATTAGGTATGGGTGTATATTTATATATATTATGTATTTATGTATTAAATATATAATGCATACCTAATATAACTTTTTTCGCACATTGTGTAATATGATCAGTCCCAGCTAGGTACTTGTAGATTCAAGTTTTGAGATTGTTTAGCAAAAATGTAAAGAATAGCTGTAATTTGTGGGTTCTATACTTCTTAATTAAATATTATGCATGACTTCACATCTTTAATCTGTTTTCACATTGGAATCGATTATTGCTAAGTCTTAGGTAAGTATAAAATATAATTAATTATTTAATTATCTAACCTAACCTGGACTATTTGCTTGTAAATTATAATACAAAATATGAATAATGGTTAGGATTTTGTTAATTAATGTATTTTATACAAGAACAAAGCTACCTTCACAGTTAAGATAAAGTAAAGTAGTTTTGAACATATTCATCTGGCCAGTTTATTTCAATTGTTCTTAACTGTATTTGAATTCAATCGAAAGTCGTTTTCTCGTTAAATTTCATGTCAAGACAAAAGGTTTAATATGTCATCCTTTTAATTTAGTCTTCTCTTTCATGCTGTTAATTTTCAATATTGATTTTGCTATAGATTTAATGCCTGTAAATATTTCTTTTCCTGTTGTAACAATCTTCTCAGCTGGCAACAGAAACCCGTACATTCCTTTGTCTGGAAGTTCTATCGTGTAGCTGTATTTTATGCCGGCTTTCCCTTTGGCCCAGTCGTCCGAAGATCCTAAAACAAATAATGCACCTATATATATTGGTTGTTAAATCCATTTATTATTTACCCGTTATACAATTTATGTGATTAAACATTATAGCTGCATGTAATATTATATTGCTATTTAGAAATTTAAAATTTCTTTATTAATATCATATTTTTTTATTAGTTAATTTTTTTCTTTTACTAGGAAATATATATTTTTCCTTTTTTTTACGAATAGACGGGATTACAAAATAACAAGATAGTATTAGATAATCCTGTATAAATTATTCAAAGTGATCCACCAAGCATGCTCACCCCAATTTTTCCTTAAATAACGTATATTTATTCAAATTCTTGAAAATTGTTATTCTCTTTTTTGTCATGTGGCAAAAGTGCAATACAAGCTCCTGTTTTTAAATTTTGCGTATGGAATCTCCTCTTTTTTTACAGTTAACTATTTAGTTTGAAATTGGTTTGATAATATTTATGTTATTTAACCTTATTCAACATTTAAAAATCCAAAAGAGTATCTATAAGGGTTGAAAAAATTAACAAATATATTGGTATAACTATTATTGAAAACGGTCCAGCAGTTTTTGAGTCTATTAATTACAGACAGACAAACATCCAGCTGAATAACCCAACTTCGCCCATAGCATAATTAACAAATACAAAATATACCCCTACGGCCTACCACGATGATACGGAAGTACCATGAAAATGTCAAGTCTCTAGCTATCATAGTTTAGGCTTAGTCAGCCAGTGAAGACTACACATTCGATTATATATATTATGTACCTGATGTAGTGTAAAGCAGTGATGGAGTAGTGCCGAGTTGATAAATTGAACCGTGTACTTTTTGAATTGCTTCAGTTGCTTGTCTCGCCAAGTACATCATGTCATCATAATCATCTGCAAGCTTTTTTGTGTGACTCCAAGGTACTAGCCACATTTGTGAGTAAGAATGTAGAGTTAAGTATACCTGAAATCATTTATTATTAAGGAACAAGTAACTAGAAGAGTGCTGCGATTTCACATATGTTTATAATTTTGTCTCGAAATAAATTACGTAAGTATCAATATTGTTATGATTTATCGCTATTTTATTATTTTGAAAATCAAGTATATAAAATATTATTCCAACTCCTTAGACATCGTATAAAGATATCTAATCGTTTATTTTTGTTTTTAAATGCATAATAATATATTGTAAACATCTATTAGGCACTGTTACAGTATCTTACAAAAATAAACTAACATGTTATTACTTCATATTATTATTATATCTATAAAAGTATAAAGTATAAGTATTTGTTTAAAGTTGTGTGATGCACTATCATTACAAAACTATTCTATAAGTGTACAACACGGCAATTCATAAATCAATGAAATTATTGCAACGTAAAAATTTTAAACCATTTTTTATAAGACAATAATGAAATTGATTATCAAGCAGTCACTTATCAGCAATGATTCGATTAAAAAATGCTTATTTTATATTTTTATAGCTTTAAATTTAAAAATTAAACTTGTGAAACACAATACATTTTTTCAATAATTACTTGTATTCTATCCCTGTGGTCTAATATAAAATCAGATACTGCTCTAGTTTCTGGTTCCGAAAAAGCGTGTGATCCAGCAAAAGTGTCAGAACATGGGTCTTGACTAGCGCCAACTCCAGCCCAGTGCCAATCCCAGTTTCTATTTAAATCAACACCTTCACAACCATATGACATATCCCACAGAGTTCTAAAAAAAATGTATTTTAATTTAATATTTAAAAAATGTCAACTTATTATTATTTTTACCTTCCTGATTTTATGGCTGCAGTCCTAGATTTTCTCCATAGACGATCGACAGTATGGCTATACTCGTAACCATCTGCGTTTATCATTGGTAGAATATACCAATCGAGCTCCGAAATCAATGTTCTGTAAGATTTATTTTCTACTAATTGCCTTAAAATGAATAATGCTACAGCTGGTGATATCCATTCCCTGGCATGAATTCCTATCACCGAAAATATCAATTGACGTTGTATAATCCAAATATAAATTATCAAAAACGAAACTAATAAGTAATAGCTAAAGTTTTGGATTTTCACTTAACATGAAAAAATATGCAACTAGTAGATACCTACACGATACACTAAATGTTTGTTTAATGAAAAACCATTTACGTTTAAATTTTGATTCAAAATATTTAATTTTAATAATTAGTCTCATTATATTTTCTTTAATTAAACTAACAAATTTGGTTTAAATGATTTATAATTAAGTACTTGTTTAGGTACGTTGTTATTTAATTCCTACTATTTAAATAGATTTTAATTGTTGCAAATTTGCTTAAGTCTTTTTGGCTTTTATTTTATTTTAAGCTGATGAGTGGGAATTATAAAAATGTTGATTTTAATCGATGTATTATATTGTATACGGACAACGTATTACTAAATCCAATATCTAAAACCGTAGCTATCTGAAAAAATCAGGTTTTTTTAAAAAAATGATTCAGCAATATAACTTATGAAATTCGAAAACAATTCAAAACCATGGGTGTGAAGTGAAAAATTTTACTTTATGAATGGCAGAAGGGTGGAATCTCTTAGAGATGCCACCATAAATGGCTTAAAACTTAAAAATAAAAATATAATGTACTTCTTATTTAATGCATTTTACCTGCATCAATCCAGATTGCTGGCTTGACAACGTTTTCTCTAGTTTGTCCACTTGATATTTTTACTACTTTTAGTGGTCGGCCTTCCACAGTTTTTCCTATAGGCAGCAATTCCACCAAATGAGGATAGTTTTCTGATAAATACATTAAGTAGTCAAGAATATCTGAAAATGTTCAGAAATATTCAAATATTCATCAGTATCATCATTAATATTAATATATTTATATATTATCATTCAGTAGCTCTTTGATGTAAAATATGTTGAATTTACAATCAGCTTTATTTATTATTTATAGGTACCAATTATTAAGAATAAATACTTAAAAAAATTATTTTTGTTTGTATAGTATAAATATATCATCAACGTAAAAATAAATAAAATTTGTTAGCTTAGTCACGTTACTACATATAGAAAAAAAATTTAAAAATGCTGTAGGTATAATTATATTACCAATAAATACAGAATAATAACATTTTTTCTATATGTAGATTGATATTCTTAGCCATTCTCTTTATATTTCTATCCAGTTATTAATTGTTTGATGTCCATTTTACCTTGATAACGATGATATCTGTTCCAAGTCATTACATGACCTTTTGTTGCTTTTAACTCTGATTTTTGAGTAATAGACGGCGATTTAGGATTTTGTTTACTAATGCTTCTCTAATAATTATTAAACAATTTATCAAACCATGTCAATTGTCTTTTTACATTTTACATTTATAATTAAGTTGTACACATACTTCTAGATCGGAACTGAGTACAATGAAGTTGATTTCTCTTTGTGTTAGAAATCGTTTGACGTCTCTGGCTACACTAGGTGGTAATACGAGATCTGCTGTTTTATTCAATCGTATAGGCATCCAAACTTGCACTCCTGGTTCTTCGGACATTGCTTCTATATCAAGTACTTCATCCTCATCAGACGGCAACACTCTGATAATTTGAAATTTCTTGTACGAGACTCGACTGGGTGATTGTTTCTTGTTTGATACACCGCCTATGAAATAACAAAGAAATAACACTGAAGATAACATCGGTAGTTAGTACGTAGTGCTAAATTTCTAATTTATTAACCTATTTTATAATACTTTTATAATAAACTATAATTCCATGCAAAAATTAAGAAGAATTTGGTAGCCCTTATATTTTGGTGTCAGTTTTTTTTAACATAGTTATAGCTATAAAGTTGTATAAATCTATATTGAATGCTCAAATGTTGATATTTTTTAATAGGTCTTGGCCAGTACAAATTTACTTTGAAAAGAACAGTTGCAAAATCTTAACAAAAATAGTCTTAAATAGGTATAGTACCTAATTATGTATAGTATTGACCATAAATAAATAACTTAATATTAACAATCGTAACTATGTATGGTCCCTAACTGACGGAAAGACGGACACAAATGTTGTATATAACATATGTTTAGAAACTTAAAACGTGGGTATTGGCTGGATACGTAAATTTTTATTTATGCATAATTGCAAATATTTGAAGAATAATATTTGTATAGTGTAGTGGTGTATAGGTAATACACCCTTTACTTATTAATAATTCAAAAAAATATAATTCAACCATTCGTATTCAATTGTTACTATTAATTGTGACAGTTAATAATATTCTAGTATAAAGTGTAATATGCACGTAATAATAAATCATCATAGGTATTAATATATTGTTTAAACATACACTCTGTTTCATATTATACTCTTATAACATGTAAATATTCGAAGAGATAATCAAATATAATTGTAGAAGTAATAAAAATGCACATGCAAATAAACTGCATGAAATAATACAATTTTAGTGCATACATTTTACCGATGTAGATACAGTAGACAACTCTAAAAAGTAAACTTCTGAACCAATGTATTGATATTATATAAATAATTTTAAGATGGGCATACTTTTTGACGCATATGGAATTTCATTTATCAATCATTAAAGTTCATGTTTATTGACTAAACGAACCTAGTACCTACTATTATTAAATATCATCTGCAAGCCAATTTTATTCCGAGATCCTTATATTTTCTCAAAAATGCCACCTAATTTAAAAGGTATAAAGTTTAAGCTCCAATATCACTATTATAGTACCTACTACCTTGGTATTAAGAAGACTAACACTAATATTATTTTAAATTTAAATTGTTAGGTACTTATACGTATTATGTTTATAAGCGTGAATTGTGTTACATAAACATAGGTAACATTGTCTATTTTTACGTATTAAAAAAATTGACTTAATTTTCGCTTTGAACAACCTTTTTTGAATCATATAAATGATAACTTTTGTGTCCATAAAAACATGGCACTATTTTTACTATCAAGAATTTAAATCTATTTGGTAGATATCTAAATTCTTAATTCACCATTAAGCTATTGAAGACCATCAACAATGTGCATATCGAATTAATGGGTCAATAAAAATAATTTAGTATTGAGTTCAATTGTTATTCATAAAAAATAACAATCTATCGCTAAAACTTCGAAACGAATTCGAAGTGCTAATTTCATAAAATTAAACAAGTATACAACTCATATACATATAATTACATCATAATAGAACGCACTATATTTATATTCTACTTTTATTTATTTCAATAATAATATTTTCTGTAAAGTGTAAACTATAGCACCATGAGACAAGAATGAAGACCATCAATTGATAATGTATTATTAAATACCTTTTATAATATTTTTGTTATCTATAAAGTATAAGTTATTACAATATTTAGTATGTATTTTATGGCAAACAATATGGATCCTACGACAGTCACGGTTTATTATAAATAAAATAAAATAAAAATTAATATAGCGTGTTTAAATATTTTTTATTTGGCTTGTTTTATACATTTTTTGTGTGACAACTGATTTTAATAGAAACTCTTGATAGATTTTGCTCATATTTTTGAATATTAAAATGATTATTTTTTATTTTAGCATCCGCAGAAGATGTTGGCAGTGGTTGACACAAAAAAATGTGAATTCAACCTCATCAAAACAATTTTTATACTTTATAAATTGATAAAAATATTTTAACTAATGCATAATTATATATATATTATAGCCAATTTATTTATCTTTTCATAGATTAAATAAATATCTAAAATATTTAATGTCAATAAGGCAATAACTATCATCAGTTGTAATTTAATAATAATATAATATATATAATGTGTTATTTTTGTATTACAAAGTATTGAAATGGTAGCGTTTAAAAGTTGACAATAATACGTGTTATGCTGTTATTATGCTTGCAATTATTTTTTAAGGGAGGTACATGGTTTTTACTTATGATACTTTCATACTTTATAAATTTTAAAAGGTATTACTTAAAAATTTTTTTTTTTATGCCTCAACTGCAACGGGTAATTGGCGTTTCTAATATATTAAAGATAGTAGATACGTTTATATTACAATTTTATACAAATTAATTTAAACAATATAACTGTGAAGGGTTACTACCTATGTTAAATGATCGTAATAGAATAATCTTCTGTGAATATTTTTTTATAATGACTCGAATGTATATCATAATTATTAAAATTAAAATCTTCATAATTATTATAAAGAAATAAGAAATACAAAATACCAATTAATAATAATACATTATAAGAGTGGTAATGGCAATATGTAAATCGTTAACTCTATTTTAATTACACTTTGTTAAAGTGTAGAACATTCAGGTTACAACTTCTAACTAATGATTGAACAAATCGACGTATTTTCTGATATTATATAGGTACCTACTAATGATTGATGAGTGTGTTTTCAAAATTTAACAAACTGAAAATAAATTGGTATATAATATACCTAATTAGTGATTGTGTTGGTTTTAAGAAAAAGGCAAATGCATAGAGTTTTTGTCAATGATCATCGGTCACACACAAATATTATTCCGTGTTTGGTTTGATTTGTAAGTTTCATTACTAAATTTATAATATAATTTTAAAAAGTAGGATCCTAATAATATATTGTTGTCCTTAGTAGTTTAACAACAACGTTTGAATTAATCGAACGTTCAGTATGGTTTTACTCATCAAAAGACAATAAAAAGTAAAAACAAATGATGCTTGTAAAATATTGAATAAAAAAAAAAATATATTCTGTTACAGTAGGAATAATGAACATGAGGACTTGTGCGTGTGTACATGTGTGTGGGAAGGAGCGGGGTAGTGAAAAAGAAGGAGATTGAAAAATAAAAAAATAATAGCTGGACACGATAAAGAGATCAGGTGTTGAACGCTCGTCTTTTGCTCGACTCAAAATAATGGTGTGCCGTGATGTTAAATTTGTAACCGATTACCAATGATAAACCGTTAATCGTTATTAAGCATCTTATGTTCACTATTAGTGCCTATAACAAATTCTTTTCATCACTTAATTTCCTTGGGTTTGTTTTTCATTGTTTTCGAAATCAGTTATATTCAATTTGGATATTTTATTGCTCATCTGCTATCCAATGCTACAAACAATTTCATGAAGTACTAAAAACATGACTGAACATCACGATCGTCGATCGCAGTTGACCAGTATATTTATTTACTTTAAAATTTGGAAACCGTTCTTTGAGCAACTTCTAGTCGCTGCCACTCTTAACAGGGCTGATTTAAATGTAGGCAATATGGTATTTATTATTTATAGGCACAACATTTTTTTTTTGTTTTTAAAGTAACATTCGTTTTCAATCTAATATAATATTACCATTGCGTTAATTTTTTACCATTATTTTCTCACTAACTATGTTTCACAATTATAAGCAAATAAACTTGCAATTATAATAAATAAATCAAAATAATAACACTAATAATCGAGAGAAATACTTTTGAAATAATATAGGTTAATACTTGATTTTTTTTACAAATATTAAAATTCAATACATTTTTTTTTAATCTATAACATACATTTTGTATCAATAATAAATTTTCTGAGTAAAACACGAAAGTTATAGAATATATACCTTCCACATTATATACCAATGTTGTATTACGATTTAAATACAATTAAATCATAATAGTATATAATTAATTTTTATAAATTAAGCAATTTCTAATGATATTTTAAAATGGGACGAAAATGCCGTGTAGGCATTTAGTGTTTACCTACATTATAGTTATTTCGAAGTGCATATTATGAACGCACAGTTATAGCCTTAACTAGAACCACGGTAGCTCACCCCCGGTAACCTGCAGCCATTACTTACCCGTGATCGGTGCTATGACGATGTCAAAGATGTATTCCAGGTAACCGGCCACGGTGTTGTACAGTTGGAGAGCTTTGAACGGGAATACGCCTCCGCCACCGTCGTCGTCGTCGTCGTCATCTTCGGCCTTATCGGCGGCGGCTTCGGCCGTGGCAGGCGGAGTGTCTGCAGTCGGCGAGGCGGCCACCGCAACGACGACGATGACGGCCGCTACCGCGAGCCACTGCAGCGGCGTCAACTTCATTTCGTCACACTTAATAATATTATTATAATATCGAACACGCGATCGAATCGTTCACTATCAAAAACGTTATTGTCTTGGACAATTACTTTAAATCGCACAAAACGGTTATTATAAAAATATATTATTATGATGATAATTATAATAATATACCGGACGGTCAGGATTTTTTTCCGGTCTGCATGTCACAAAAACAAGTCGATCGCGACTGAGGCCTATATAATAAAATGACGAGACGGTGTCTCTCTAGCTGCCGCCGCCGTCCAAATCCGCTGCGCCGACGTTCGACGTCTTCATAGCATTTATCAATATATCACTAATATGATATGGTTCCTCGGCTTCCTATTATTATTTTATCGTATTTCAGGTAGGCAACGATACTGTGGTTATAATCGTGGCGCCTGTCTGGGACGCTCGTGTGGTGCGTCTCGCGCTGAGCGTCGATGTGAACTGACAGCACCACCGGCCGGCACCGGTGGCTTCGGCCGCGAGATGGTAGTCGCAGGTATACAGTCGTCACGGGCGATTCACCACGCGTATATATTATGCCGTTTAAATATTATCAATATTAGTAGGTAGGTAGGTATAGAGTCGTGTCTTACTTTCTTTCTGGACGACGACGACGAAGACGCGACGTCCCGGGCCGTGATTTATTCGATTATTCGTGTGTAATGCACATCCTCCCCATATGGGCTGGTAATTTATATCCTAAGTACTATACTACTGCACCGTGGTACGATAAAAACGATTATAATATATTTATATGTATACGTATACTATACCGCGATGATGATCTCCGAAGGAACTAGTATCTTGCCGACAATATAATGGAACCGGAAGCGACCATGACTTTCGTCCAAAAATGAAATTCCATATTTCTCTGCCGTTAATCCCCCCCCCCCCCCCCCAAAGAAACTAATGGTAGTCACTATTCATTTTCCTTTCCACATTTTTTCGGATTACAAACATATCAATAATCCTCCTAATATTAAAATGATATAATTCGTTTTTTAAATCTTTTAATGTTTACGTTATAACTTTTTTGTATTATCTATATATTAAGTATGAAGTTGTGACACATATCGCTTGATTTGTAGTATTCTCATATTTCTAAAGCAACAATTTTAATATCAATAATATGAAAATATGTATATTATATTTAAATTTTGAATTATTATTATAAACATTTATCTATTGTTATCATATTTTATATTTTTATCACAATAATTTAAATTTATTTCATATTTCACATTTACCTATACTTAAAAATATATAAAACTATTTACATTCTTGACCAAAAAATTAATAGTTGGGTGATAATTTCTTATTTCGATAATAGAGGTAAATTGACAGTGGAGGAAAATTTGGTCTAGAATCGTTTTTTTTTTACGGGGGAATGAATCTGAAACTTTACCCAAGTCATATTTTACATTTTTAAAAATTAAAACCAATATTTGGGTATCTGACTTAAGGTCATATTTTGGTTTTAAAATATCGAGAGTATTTAATGACTGTATAGCACTAAGTTTTTTTTGTGTACTACTCATACGATTCCCTTTATTACCTACTCGTATATTCGTATATACATTATACATCTATAGTTTACACTGGTTTAGGACACACTCCTACAAGTCCTACTCCTCCAAAAAATATAATTTCTAAGACTATTAAATAAATGTTGTTTATTTGTAATTTAAAGTACTTCCCAATTTTCTATGAAAATTCTCTTGAAGTGGATAACAGAGACAACATTTTCAATGCATTGTTTTGTGTGAAGATTATTAACATTTGAAATAAGAAAAAATATTCTACCAGAAAATGGGTTTTAATTAATTGCGTGCACATGCGAATTGTCAATCGTCATTATAATATAATCTGTAAACAGTGTAAACGTATACACCTAATATTGGTCTATAATACTTATATTGTTAATTCCAATGTGTGCAAACGAATTTCTATGTCTATTTATTATGTAGGTAATAGAGGTGCATCATTGTTTAAATATTGAATACTGTCTAGTGGATGTCTTATGTTTGACATAATTTAATGTTTGTTTAATTTTATTAGAAAATATATATAGTTAGAATATTGATATTGTTCTAAGAAAAAATGATGCTAGTAAAATATTTAACGACATCGATATTAGGAATAAGTCTGTTGTTGAGTGTTGTCAATTAATAGTTATTTTTTTTCTTATTGCGATCTTCATGTGGTACATCATACACGTACTCATATAATTAAGTACTAATATTTCATATTTGAGTCATATGGAAATTGTATTTCTATCTATAATTTACCACTTATTAGTTATTTGTCTAATTGATGTAACTAAATAAATATATAAACAGAAGCAATTATGTATATATATATATATATATTATATGCAATAGATATACATATAATATATTATATATTTTTATACAAATTAGGAATACACTCCGTATACTATAATTAATACGTGTATTACCTATATTATAATATAATAACGGACAAATTTTTTTTCGTTACAGGTAGGTATTTATTTACGTATTCAATTTTATTATGGTCTATATGTATATATTTTGTCCTTTCCTATTTGAATAAAATAACGACATACCTGAAGTAAGTGAAAAAAATGTTATCATTATTTTTTACTATTTCTGCATGTTTTATATAGTTATAACTTATAATATTTATCGTTTTATGGAGTATTTAAAGCTACTGTACTAGATCACTGTTGCAATGTTTTTATTGAACTTAAATTTTTTCTTATGTATATGATTTAATAATTATTATATTGTTAGGTTAGGTTATATTACTAAAGTATATTGGTACTTGCTTCACTTTAATAAAGTAATATTAGTAATACATATTACATAGTAATATTCAAATTCAAATCATTTTTTGTTTAAATTATTTCTATTTTGATAGTAAAAACTAACTGTCCTTTTTAAAATTAGTTACCGACAAAAATAATTGTTACTTTTATTGAACTATACCGGAATGGCTATATAATAGTAAGAACCTATAGTACCTAACTACTAACTATATAATAACAATTAATAACTATAAATTGACATATTACCTTATCATAATTACAATATTATTGATTTATTCAAACCTCATGTTAGTTTTAGTTCTGGTAGATTGTTTTTTTTTTTAGGGGTGGGGGGCGAGGGACAGGAAGTTTAAATTTCCAGTACCTACTTAGAACCTAACCTAACCTAATAGATACTTACTTAAAGAAAGTAAATCAAATTATTACACAAGGTTTATCATAAGGCTGTTAATATTCTAATTAAAATATGTCAAAAAATACATGGTCACAATTTTTTTTAAACACTCAATGACATTTCCAAAGTATTTAGATTAGTTTTAAGCTATTTCCTATTAATACCACGAACCTGTTCGCACTGTTAGGTTGGTGAACGGTATTGACTCAAAAACAATAATAATAGTACAAATATATTACATAAATGTATGATATAAATATATTATACATATTTATAATATATGAAATAAATGTTATGTTCTCACAAAAAATTAATAATTTAACTGACCGTTTTACTAATAGTGAAATAAATTATCAAATAATAATATAATAAAATATTCTTATAGCAATATATAGACTGATGTTCTGTCTCCGCTTGGAATCGTTTTTCGTATACGTACAATGGTTTATTATTGAATTCGAATTTAACACATCTATTACAATGACCTACCTACCAAATAGCGAAGTGTCTACACTTAAAGCCTTCTATACAGCTGAGAAGTGAGTTTCCCGATTTAGAAAAAAATTCTTATAATTTAGGTATTCGAATGTCAACTATACCTATAATTTTTAATTTAATACCTATAACAACTTGACCCAGTTAAAATTAGTTATTGTCATTTAGTTTTTAATCATACTATTTATTAGGTATTCATTAAACTTCGTATACGTTTTATATACATATTAATTATATTTTAAAATGAATATAAACGTTGTTTAATTTTTAATAGACCTCTGCGTCTTGTATTATACCAACAAACTGTAACCTCAATTCGTTTGATACAAATGACTTATTGTATAGGTATTATTATATTATAATATAATTACATCATAACTCATACATAAAATTCACAAGACAATTATATTAAATAGGTAGGTACTGGAAAGTCAATGATTGTCTAATAATTTGTTGTATACATAAACACAATGTGTGCGTATATTTATTAATTCGTTAATCAACGTTTCTTCAATATATTATAAACAGCGCTTAATGTTTATGGTGTCCTTATTATTAGCATCGACCCGATAATAAATCTAGAGTTCACGAAAGCAAATCGATTATAATGAGTAATGACCATATCGTATTTACATTGTATTACACAGGTACCTACGAGAGATTTTAATTTCTTCTTCCTGCTGCAGAGCACATCGGTCGTCACTCCGCACTCATCGTAATGGTTAATTGAAAACCGGGCGTAGACAAAAACCTATTGTAAAAAGTAGGTAGTAAAAACTATCGATGTAATACGTACGTGTATTGTACATTGGTATACTAAATTAAATATCGGTCAGTGATAGAATTATGTTATTTGATGATTAAGTTTATTATAATGTATTTTTGAAATTATTTATTTTTATGAAGGTGTGCGTTGTTTAAACTTCAAAGAATTTTATTTATTATTTCGATTTATTGCGGTAAAACCATTATGCATTCACAATTTATTCTAGTTGATATATACACAGCCTTAATGTCACATATAATGCTTAATGCGTATAGATGATTGTTTGATTAGCTTATTAAATGTTATTACGTCCATCCAAATTTATATCTATAAAAAAAATATTACGTGCAGCGAGTACCTACATTTTAATCCTTAATTTTTCTACCAATAAAATTGACTCGTACCGCATTACCATTTTATATAATATATTATGTTATAGGTAGGCTCTCAACATTATAAAATATCAATGATAAGGAATTTTAGTTTGATTAAGAATATTATAAAACGTAGTTCATTTTTATTTTTAACCGTTATCACCTAACGGCTTACAAGGACGTTATGATGGAAAATGTTTTGAAACAATATTATCATTAGGCCAAAATTAGTATTGTTTAAAAGTAATAATTTGTTTATTTGTCGGCTTAATAATAATATTTCAAAAGTAGGTACCTTGCGCACAAACATGTCGTATGATATATTATTATTATTGTTAATTTTTTTTTCATTTTTCTCTACCTACTGTGCTTTCTACAAGTATATATTTGCTGAATAATATGAATGTCATTTAAATCATTAGACATTAAAGCCGCAGCATAAGATGAAATGGCATACGGGTGCCACATTATGCCATTTCTAAATTTAAGTAAGTCGCTCTAAATTGCCTTAGCAAACTGTAAACAGTTGAACCAGTTAAGATTAAATTAATTGGTAGTAAGTAAGAAAGTTAATTTACAAGATCAAAACAAACATCTACGTTTTACAGAACTGTGTAACAAATTGTAATTTAACTTTACTGTAATGTGTTCTTAT